GGCTTGTCTGACCAGATGTTTCCATACCTACTTGTTGACACTCCATGTCTGTCGATCCCCAAAATAAGAGATTTTTTAGGCTGCAATAGAAATTATATTTTCTAAAGTCCACCCAGAAGTGAAATTCATAAGATACTCCACTTCTAGGAATTTTTCGTGAGGGATTTGTGGAGGCGGTTTATCTACATCCTTTTATGCATTTTGGACGACTGATTTTTTTGTGGGGAAAATGTCAGGAGCTTTGGGTTGACATGAATTTTTTAATGAGAACGTGCGGGACGAATTCATTTGGATGGGGAGGGGGTAATTAGGGGGTCTTGTTAGGGATGAAGGGAATTAAATGTCAAGGGGCGGATTTATTTTTTTTATATCAATTTTTTTAACGAAAAAGTGAGATTCGATGATATTTGCACGGGTCAGGGTAATGGGGGGGGGTCCTTGTTAGGAATGACGAGAATTCAATATCACTTCTTTCTTGAATTTATAATTTTCTCGCTTTGATGTTGAACTGTCAGGGTAATGAGGTATGTTTTAAACTGAAGGAGAGCGTTCTCTATTTTTTTTTTTTTTTCAGTGAGAGAAAGCAATTAATTATGGAAATGATTTGAGATGTCATGAATGCAGGTTTTCTGGTTTTATTATGATTTCATTCGTGAACGAGTGAAATCTGAAAAGTATTGAAGAGCGATTGGATTTCATGGGTTGATTGACCGGATGTTCCATACCCACTTGTCCCATTCCACCTGATGTATTCATGAAGAGGAGCATTCTCTGTTTTTTTATTAATTAAAAAACGAGAAATAAATTTAAAAAATAATTTAAGATTAAATGTATACAGGTTTTCTGGTTTTATTATAATTTTTATTCGATTTTTTCGTGTATCAAATCAATAAATGATGGAGAATTTTCATTCGTGAACGAGTGAAATCTGAAAGGTATTGAAGAACGACTGGACTTTATGGATTGTCTGACCAGATGTTCCATACCTACTTGTCCCATTCCACCTGATGCATTCATGAAGAGGAGCATTCTCTATTTTTTTATTCATTAAAAAAAGAGAAATAAATTATAAAAATAATTTAGGATTGGTATGCAAATTTTCAAGTTTTAACATTAACATTGTTATTAACATTTTTATCTGATTTCTTCATGTATTAATTCAATAAGTGATGGAGAATTTGCATTCGTGAACGAGTGAAATCTGAAAAGGTATTGAAGAAGGTTGGGACTTTATCGTTTGTCTGGCCAGATGTTCCATACCTACTTGTTCCCATTCCACCTGATGCACTCATGAAGAGGAGGATTTTCAATTTTTTTATTCATTAAAAGGGAGAAATAAATTATAAAAATAATTTAAGATTAGATGTATACAGGTTTTCTGGTTTTATTATCATTTTTATTTGATTTTCTCATGTATCAATTCAATAAGTGATGGGGAATTCTCATTCGTGAACGAGTGAAATCTGAAAAGTATTGAAGAACGCTTGGATTTCATGGGTTGTCTGACCAGATGTTCCATACCTACTTGTTCCCATTCCACCTAATGCATTCATGAAGACGAGTATTCTCTATTTTTTTTATTCATTAAAAAAAGAGAAATGAATTTAAAAAATAATTTTGGATTGTTATGCAAATTTTCAAGTTTCAACATTTACATTGTTATTAGCATTTTTATCTGATTTCTTCATGTATCAATTCAATAAGTGATGGAGAATTTGCATTCGTGAACGAGTGAAATCTGAAAAGTATTGAAGAACGCTTGGATTTCATGGGTTGTCTGCCCAGATGTTCCATACCTACTTGTTCCCACACAACGGATAGGTTCCAGGTTCGATTCCTGGCCGGATAGAATGGTGAGATCAAACCATTTTTAAAGTCTTGATCAATCGCCATATAGTCTCATCAGACTCGAAGCGATATAAAATAAGCATAAAAAAAAAAAAATACTTGTTCCCATTCCACCTAATGCATTCATGAAGACGAGCATTCTCTATTTTTTTTATTCATTAAAAAAAGAGAAATGAATTTAAAGAATAATTTTGGATTGTTATGCAAATTTTCAAATTTCAACATTTACATTGTTATTAACATTTTTATCTGATTTCTTCATGTACCAATTCAATAAGTGATGGGAATTTTTATTTGTGAATGAGTGAAATCTGAAAAGTATTGAAGAACAATTGGATTTTATCGTTTGTCTGACCAGCTGTTCCCTACCTACTTGTTGCCAGTCCATCTGGTGTATCGATCCCCGAAACAAGGGGGTTTTAGGGTCGACATGAGAAACGCTGGTGAAAAGGCATGAATGACGCCCACTGCACCAAGATTTTTGAGCTTGACCCACATTTCTTTCAACACTCGCTCATGAATGTTTCACACTGAGTGTATGAACGAAATGAGGATTCATTCATTCGTTATTTTAAAATTCAAAAGAAATGGATGTATGAGGACTCTCGAGTTTTTGTGGGATTTTCTTCTCTCGCTCGCTGGGACACTCATTGAAAGTCAGTTTTCCAACGGGGGTTTGAATTCAATTTCGAATTAAATTATTCATGAATTTTTCTTTTATTCAGTACGTAACAAGTGGCGAAGATGCCATGATAACCTCAATTCTAGGATTCTTTAGTGGAGGATTTTCATTGAAATTCTTTTTTTTATTGAATAGACAATTTCGAGAAAATAATTTGAGACTGAAAATTCTATTGTTTACAATTTATTTATAAAACTCATTTTTAACAACTGCAGTTTCTCATTTTCTTATTAATTACACCACAAAGAAGAAAATCGAAGTTTTCTCTTAATTTTTTTTAAATTCGGAATGCCTAATCAGAACAAAAGTTTCTTATTTTTCATAAATAATTTCAATTAGTGAAAAATTGCATTCGCCACAACGTAGTCAATATATTTTTGCTGACAGTAAAAAATAGTTCTGCCGAAAAACTATATGTTCCACGTGAGAATATTTGCCAAAGTGGAACAGATTTACTTGAGAGAAATTAACCAACTCGACAGAAGAAAATTCAATATCTTTCACAAAAATTAAATTTTTGTCGTGATCATCAGAAATATCCCTAGAAGAATTCGAACTGTTGGCAGGAAAAAATATAATCTATTGTACGACAATCATTTGATCTGAGAGAACTCCATAGGTTTATACCATAGAAAGAATGCATTGACGAGGAAAGAATATTTTTTTCCCAAAAAAATTGTCCCGTCGAAATTATTTAGTTTTGCCAATAACACAGTTATCGGCAAGAAAATTGTAGTTTCCTCTTGAAATTATCATTTATTCCATGGAAATTATAAATGTTTATTGGACAAAGATATACACTACTCAATAACATTCACTTGATGAAACCGAAGCCTCATATAATTGTCTGTAGCACGAATGTATTTGCCCGAAAGACATGTAAATGTCTCACGAGAACAATTACTACTACGAAAATTATCATGTTTTGGTGGAAATTTTCTTTTTTATACCTCCCACGGGTGAAAAAAACACTTTTACGCACTCGTATCAAAATTGTGTATTTCGATACGAGTGCGTAAAAGTGTTTTTTCACCCGTGGGAGGTGTGGAGCTCTCGCCAAAGGCGAGCTCTACCACTTCAGGGGTCAAAGAACACTTTTTTTCATCACGCTGTGTGTAAAGTGACATTTTACGCACGCTCCGCGTGCGCAAAACCCCGCTTCCCGCACATTGTGATAAAAAATAGGATTCGATACTCGCGGGAAAAGTGTTTTTAGACTCGTGGGATTATATCACTCGCCTTCGGCCCGTGCTATAAACCTCCCACGAGCCCAAAAACACTTTCCCGCAATCGTATCGAAATATACTATTTTCTCACGATGTGTGGAAAGCGAGATTTTACGAGATTTTAAAACGAGAGATTTCGCTTTGCGCACACGTGACGAAATAGTATATTTCGATACCAGTGTGCAAAAGTGTTTTTTGGATCGTGGAAGGTTTATAGCACGAGCCGAAGGCGAGTAATATAATCCCACGAGCCAAAGAACACTTTTCCCATGAGTATCGAACGATATTTTCCATCACAATGTGTGAAAAGTAGGATTTTGCGCACGCGTAATGTACATAAAATTTCACTTCACGCACATGTGATGAAAAAATGAAAAATTTCGGATTTGATTTGAATAAACTAAACAAGAAAGAACCTAAAAAATTCATTGTGAACAGCACCTCTAACATTCGATTCCCAGAATTGACTAAGAATTCATCTGAGTATCATTTTTTTTCAAATTCACCTGCGACAGTGCAGTCTTCTGGTAGAAATTGATCCCTTCCAGAACCGCAGTCTTCACTCCGCTCCATTCAAATTCGAATTAACACATCAAAAAGGTACATCTCCATGAAAATAGTTTTACACAACCCCCTGACAATTAATCCCACTCCGCACAGGTCACCCCATCCTTGAAACCCCGGCGCCCCCCTCCCCGAAAATCCTCAATGAAAATCCATCAACGGCCTCCAATCAATACCCCAACACCCAACGAAACAACGATAACAATGTATCGCCTTGGCCCAGAAATCCCGCAGACGTTCAATTCATCTCGCATTTTCAGACTGGCGCAAAAGCCCGCGATCTCCCCCGCGTCGTCGCACTGTGAATCCTTCCGTCATGGGGGCGCACGAGTGGAGTGTCTGCGTCGATAAAGCACACCCTCAGGGCCAGTCGGTGAAAGCGCCCTAGGAGAGCTTGCGGTTTATCCATTCATCTCGACCCGTTTCATACAATCAAACAGCACAGACTATTTTCCGAGGTGCGTGCTGCCGAACCCAGTGATAATTCATCATTAATCGGACATTTGGAGTCGTTGAATCGGTGAAAACGATACTGAATATTCTTGGATACTGTGAGGTGAATTGTCGGGTGGAATCCTCAGGTGCTTCCAGCGTTTCAGTGTCAAATATCGAATAAAAAATCAATAATTTTTCACGATCAATATATTAAATTGCACTCAGACGTGATGAGAGGTGGATTTTTATCGCGTCTGAGACATTTGTCGGCTGAAAAATCAGGGGAGTAAGCGTGTTCCGTCGATTAATTGGGGAGATCAATCGAGACGAATGTGAGAGTAAAGTATTGTCGATTGAAATTATGAAAATTCCGTCATTTTCACCGGTAGGAAATAAGTGAGGTAAAAGTGTTCTTCCGAGGGAAAAGCAGCCCGGCGAGCGACGAGGCCCCGGGATTTGAGCAACAGGTAATTTTATTTTTACCCAGGGAGAACAGACCTCTGTGCTGTCAGACGCAGTGGAAGTTTTAAAAATTATTCCCCATGTTCGGGGGTGAAAAAGAGTATTGGCGTCTCCGTCGGGGTTTAATTACGAGTTTTGATTTATGGGGCGGGCTATCGGTTACCGGAAGTAGGTTAATTACTCGGCGGAGCAGCGATGGAGGCCGGACGCAGCGGGGATTGTCCGATGCAGTTGTCATTGGACGTCGGTTTTAGGGAATCTGCAGGTTTTGAGTTTACTTCGGGTTTGGAAACTAATAGCCTTGATTGCGCGGATTATTTGACCTTGAACTTTTTCTGCACCTGCGTAGTATTTTCTTGGGGGCTGGATTGGGGGCGGTGAGATGGGACGGAATATTGTTCAGGATTTGCGGGAATGAATATAAATATTAGATTTTTTTTTACAATTTTTTTCAGAAATGATATATTGTATTTTATGTTTTGTGGTTTGTGCTTTATATTTTATGTTTTGTTACGTTTGTAGAAGTTGAAAGAGGAGTATAGAAGGGGGATCTCGATGAGAATATTTATAAAAAGCTATTTTTGAATATTTCATTTTTTAATTCAGTGGCGGAGCGGTGAAAGGGTTCAAGTTGATTTCGTTCTTAGCTGAGTTTTTGCGGAATATCTCGGAATCTAAGGGAGATGACGAAATTTTTGTGAAAACCTTTTTTGTAGAGAGAATTGAGAGTTATGAAAAAGGTTATAACAAAAATTCTGGTATCTGCCTTAGATTTCCAGACATTCATTGAGAACTGTGCAATAGTCGAAATCGTCATTGAATTTAATTTTCTTCGCCATTCGATCTCGAGAGAATAATTTCTTTGTTACAAATAAAATAATCATGTGGATACACTGAAATTAGTTCTGAAGAGATCTTTTGTCGCGTTGAATCAATTTACTTGTGTACAAAAAAAACTTTCCACCAACACATGATAATTTTCGCAGTAGTAATTGTTCTCGTGAGACATTTATATGTCTTTCGGGTAAATACATTCGTTCTACAGAGAATTATATGAGACTCCAGTTTTATCAAGTGAATATGATTGAGTAGTGTATATCTTTGTGCAATAAACACTTATAATTTCCATGGAACAAATGAGAATTTCAAGAAGAAACTACAATTTTCTTGCCGATAACTTGTTATTGGCAAAACTAAATAATTTCGAGGAGACAATTTTTTTTGGAAAAAAATATTCTTTCCTCGTCAATGTATTCTTTCTATGTTATAAACCTATGGAGTTCTCTCAGATCAAATGATTGTCGTACAATAGATTATATTTTTTCCAGCCAACATTTCGAATTCTTCTAGCGATATTTCTGATGATCACGACAAAAATTCAATTCTTGTCATAGATATTAAATTTCCTTCTATCAAGTTGGTTAATTTCCCTCAAGTAAATCTGTTCCACTCCATCAAATAGTCCCACGTGGAACGTATGGAGGCTTAAATTCGTTGAAAGCAGCCTAGGACAATTATTTAAAATTAATTTGCGACGTGATCACGGATTTTTAGAATTGAATTAAGCGACCAAGCCAGAAATAATAGAAATATCTACGTAAATTTTTACAGGAGGAAGCGGGCTCGATGCCGGAGGCTTCGAGTTCGGGTGTCGGCCCAGACGTGATGGGGGTGGCCGACGAGGCGGATTATTCGACGTTCGAGAATAGATCGGGCCTCGCCGAGGACATGAAGTTCCTCGCAAGTATGCCTGAACTGTGCGACGTGACCTTTCTCGTCGGCGACACTCGGGAGCCGGTGTGCGCCGTCAAGGCCGTACTCGCAGCAAGGAGCAGGTTGCTATGACGTTCTCATTCTATTTTCCACACCCCTCCATCGGTGTATTTTTAGGTCGGTTTTATTAAGATCGTTGGGGAAGACTGCTCCCTTCAGTTTCCTCCCTTCTTCAATTTTCTGAGGTTTTTGTGATGTAAAATATTCTTTCTGACGGCATTTAGAATGACTTCGATCATGAGATTGGTTGTATCATCTGTTTAAATAATTATTTTGAAACTAATATTCAGGAAAAGGTAAAAAATTTTAACGTTGGCGCAATGTTGGCTGCCAACGTTGGGACAATGTTGGGTTTCAATGTCGCGGCAATGTTGGCGGCTAACGTTAGGATAATGTTGGCTATCAATGTCGGGGCAACATTGGCTGCCAATGTTGAGACAATGTTGGCTATCAATGTCGGTGCAATATTGGCTGTCGACGTTGGGAAAATGTTAGTTGCCAACATCGGGGAAATGTTGACTATCAGGCAGCATTATTCCAACGTTGGGATAATGTTGGTTGCCAACGTTGGAATAATGCTGGTTGCCAACGTTGGAATAATGCTGGCTGCCAACGTCGGGGCAATGTTGGGAATCAACCTTGGGACAATGTTGGCTGCCAACGTTGGGCAATGTCAATAAATTAAATTCAATAAATCATTGAATCCAATTTAAAATCCATCATCATAAAAATTCCATCCGGAATCAAATCACCAATTTATTGACAACAATATATTGACCATGTTGTGATGAAAAAAATTTCCCACTTGTTATAGAGTCTTCCATAAAATGCTTTATCAAGCTCCTAGTCCTCAACGCAAGAAAGAACCTCCGCCCCGTGAAAAGCTGCGATTTTTCCTCAAAAGAAGCTCTGAACCTCTCCTCAATCTTCAAAATACTGCGCAACAGGTAATCTCAACATATTTTTCAAAATAAAAACATAATTTTCGCGATTCACGGAGAAAGAATAATTCCCTAATTGAGACTATCTCTTTGCTAAACCAGAGCATGACAATTTTTCTTGTTTAATAATTCTATAACTTAATTTTATTATTATAAAATTAATGAATTATTCAATTATTTGTTTGATAATTCTATAATTCGATAATCAGGCATTTTATTATTCATCGAAGTCATCGAAATATGCAGTGGAATCAAAAACGAAAATAAAACCGAATGAAACCACTCAATTTTTTTTTCAATTCAGAATTCAATTCCATTTCGTCAAGTTCTCAAATCAGAAATTCGTTCAATTTTAGAAAAAACGAAATATTATCAAGTTGGGAAAGGTTTTTTCTCCGAGTCATACAGTGAAATCGAATGCAGCAGTAATTTTCGCCGAGATATAACGAATGGAATAAGTTTCAATGCCACAAGGATTTACCAAAACTGTTAAATTGTCTGAATGTACCAGCAAATGGCTGCAATTTATCCGATTATTTGAACTGCAAAACAGTCAACAAACAGTTGATTGATTGAATTATCACACGAACCGGTGATAACCATAAAGTACAATCACCACCACCTAATTATCATTTATCCTGTCAATGGGAAAGAGTTAAATGTGTATTTGTTGTGTCGCGTACAGCGGTCAGGGTTCACGCAGCAGTTGGCTCCCATCCAAGAGGTACTTTCAATGCAAAATGTCGATTCTCAGACTTTTTTTTATTTTCTAGACAAGAAAATCTGCTTTAAAAGAATGAAATGACAAAAGTTGCAGAATCTGTCGTAGACTATTTCGATAAAATCTCGGAAACTAGTAGATTTTCGAGGAAATGTGATAATACCTTTTTTGTAGATAAATAAATTTTCTACAAAAAATTCTTTATGACATTTTTCAATAAACCTAGTCGTTTTCGAGATATTTACCAAAGAATCTAGAGTTAGTCTTCTGATGCATCTCATTTCTTCCCTTTAATTCATATTAATATTCTCTGCGAGACGAAATTGTGTGAATTATTTTTTATAACATGCGTTGACTGACCTATGCATGCCACTAAACTATAACTAAAAAGCTCGTTGAGAAGAATGGAGAGAGAATTTATTCAGGGGAACCTCTACTGAGGCCTGACCATAGCCTGTTTGCATCACTGGAACGTGAATTATTTCCAGAAATACCTTAGGATTTCTGAGATAAGTAGAGTAGTAGCTGATAGTGACGATTAGCTTGCCCGAAAAATTGGGATGTGGACCAATGGGCTTTGCTGTGCGCTTTGAGAAAAATTGTTCTGTAAATTTCCAAAGGCCTCGACAAAGTCATGCTGGGCTGATGGCTAAGCGTTTGGCACGTGCATCGTGAGGATCTGCGGAGACTTTGCTTTGTATTATTGATGATTCATGTGAATTGTTGGGGGTGAGAGGCTCATGCTAACGTTTTTGTTCAATGGTAAGCCACAAGCCAATCAGCATCATACTTTGATTATCGAGGAGTTCGAGCCCGATGTGTTTCGCCAGCTCATCGAGTATATTCACACGGGATGCGTCACCCTGCAGCCGAGAACACTGTTGGGTATGTTAATTTTGATGAGTTAAATGATGGACCGGGATCGGGATCAATCATTATATTACAGTCAAGGCGTTATATAAGATACCTTAGGGGCAGTAGGAGAGTGGAATTCCGGGAATCCGTATACCCCCACTACGCGCGCTGATAGAGAGGAGAAAAATAGGGATCAGCGGTTTGAAATAAGATACCTCGCTCGTTGCGCCCGAAGTCTATGGAATATTCATTTTCACTGAATGGATATTGATAGCTAATCAATTTATACGAGTTTAATGTTTTGAATGCGTATGGCCCGCGTTCCCTTTTCTCTCTACAGATAACCCCGCGTGATAGAATGGCAGCTGATGTTGGGGGATTTTGGGGGACTTGAGAATAATCACTTCTGGACAGCTGAAGTACAAATTATTGAAAGTACGTAAATTAATTGAATTTTAATTAGGCTTTATTCTATTAAGATAATTCTGCGTCATCATTTTAATAATTATAGCCTCGAAGAAAAGAGGTGACCCTTGGGATCGTTTAACCCTTCTGATTACTTCACTTGACTCTCACGTTTGAACTATTGACCCTTAAGGTCATTTGACCCTTATGATCACTTCGTTCGTCCCTCCCGATTGACCCTCAACTCCGTTTGATCCTTATAATCACTCTTTTCCCGCTGAAAAATTATCGAGGCCATAGGTATCTTATCAGAAGCCCACGAAACTAAACATTCGGGAGGCGATAAAAGTGCTGAGAGTGGGTGTAAGCCTCAAGCGTTCGGAGCTCGAGGTATCTTATAGAGAGGTATCTTATATAAAGCCTCGACCGTATTAATATTGAGGGAAGTTGCACCTTAAAATAATTGAAGTTCATTTATCCTCATGGAAATTTTGAGAAATAGTAAAAGAATTGATCTGAATTTTAATTTTAATTTTAAAAGCTAAATTTTCAACAGACTATGAATTAAATTTATTATTACAATTGGTAATATAGCATTGTTCAAATTCGTAATTTGAACATTTAATTGATGATTACTTTAATAATTTGAAAATTGTTGGGTGATGTTAAGCAATTGACCAATTGAAACTTCAATTTAATTTATAATTTATCAGTGTAGCGATCTCTGATGCTAGCTGATATGTTTTTAATCTATGAAATTTTATTTGGAGGCAAAATTTTTTTAATGTCATGAAGACGTTACAGACAATGATAATTTTTTTACTTATGATTTTTAATGGCAAATCAATTCTCTTATTTTCTATTCATTGAAATCGTGGAATATTAAAATTAGATTGAAAATATTGCGTAATTTTTTTTAATTCCCTTCAATAAATACTACTTAATTAAACTTTCAAATGAACATGTCTTCGATATATTTTTATAAAATGATTCCTTATCAATATAATTTTATATTTATAAATTATATGTTTATTAAAAACTTTTGAATCAGAAATTTTTTTATTGAAAATAGTCAATAAAAATTCTTCAAAATTATTGTACTGCTTTGTTTAAAATTGATTAAAAAGCTTTATTTGGTATTTTCAATCTTCGTAGTTAAGATTACAACAGTGAAAATCAAATTATTCGATTTCGCATTAATTTCAAAATTCCAATGGTGTAATAAAATTCGAAATATCACTTCATTTTATTTTTCCACGCCACTGAATAAACAATTTATTTATTAAATAAATCTACCCTAAATGCTTTTAGTATTGAACGCCATCGATGTGAAATTAATTTACTCTTGAATGTACACGTAAGAATATTTTGTAAATATGGGCCTCAGGTCGAGCATTATAATAAATAAATAAATAATGAATTGTTAAAATGCTTGAACATTTGACACACTTAAAAAATTGAAGCATCCTTTAATGTTTTTAGGAGTAATGAATGCCGCTGACTACTACGGTTTGGACGAATTGAGAAAAGCATGCGCTGGTTTCGTCCAGTGCTGCATCACTGTGGACACTGTCTGTGCACTTCTAGCGTCTGCCGAAAGATACATCCAATATAAATGTACAAAATCACTGGTTCAGAAGGTATTTACTCCCTCTTTATCACCGTCAAGTAGTTCCATCCGTCAGTAATTGTATTATCTCGTATTCTCCGGCACAACAATTTCAAGTATTTAATCAGAAACGAATTCAACCTTTGATTGCTAATCTCGGAGGCTCGCATCCATATCAGAAATCAGAATTCTTTCCTCGAAAATAGACGAGTGAGTGGTGATGAGCGAGCTGTTGGGAAACTCAATTTTATCGAAGATATTGGGAACACACCTATTTTTCAGAGATAAAATCCAGTGGCAACGTAATTCAATTTCGACGTAATTCCGTTAGGTGGGTTACAGATGCTATTTGTTTTTCAAGGTTCTGGAGTTTGTCGATGAACACGGAAATGAAGTACTCAATCTAGGGTCTTTCACGTTACTTCCTCAGCATGTGGTGAGGCTCATCCTAGCCAGGGAAGAGTTGCGAGCTGATGAGTTCACTAAATTTCAGGTATTGTTGTAGAACGAAGGGCAAAAACAGGACAGATTCGTTTAATTTTTAGCTGTTGAGTTTTAATTTGGAGAAACTCATTTCGTTGTCGACACGCATAAAAAAATTGTGTATGCATGTTTCATTCTGACTCTTAGATTCTCGGTAATCGAAAAAATTCCGTAAAAGAGAATTTCAAGACGTAACTGGGGAGAATGGTGCAGATGTATAAATCAGAACTACAGTTCAAATAGTTGTAATTCAAAGTCGTGGTTCGAAAAGAACTAACTCAATTCGTTCCTCAAAAAAGCACTAGACGGTTAAAAATTTAAAATTAAAATTAATCACAGTTCCCACTGATTGTTCCAAGAAATTATAAATTTTGAATGACAACATTCCTTCAAATTTCAGTGGAAATGTAACTTTTTTAGAAATTTCCAAGACTTTGACCGGAAATTTCACTAGAAAATTTTGAACAATGTGTCTCACCTGAAATTTAAAAAGGCATAACTCAAAAAGCCTCGAGGCCTACCCCACTCTCGGCACTTTTATCGCCTCCCGAATGTTTAGTTTCGTGGGCTTCTCATAAGATACCTATGGCCTCGATAATTTTTCAACGGGAAAAGAGTGATTATAAGGATCAAACGGAGTTGAGGGTCAAACGGGAGGGACGAACGAAGTGATCATAAGGGTCAAATGACCTCAAGGGTCAAGAGTTCAAACTTGAGAGTCAAGTGAAGTAATCAGAAGGGTTAAACGATCCCAAGGGTCACCTCTTTTCTTCGACGCTATAATTATTAAAATGATGACGCAGAATTATCTTAATAGAAAAAAGCCTAATTAAAATTCAATTAATTTACGTACTTTCAATAATTTGTACTTCAGCTGTTCAGAAGTGATTATTCTCAAGTCCCCCAACAATCCCCCAACATCAGCAGAGAAAAGGGAACGCGGGCTATACGCATTCAAAACATTAAACTCGTATAAATTGATTAGTTATCAATATCCATTCAGTGAAAATGAATATTCCATAGAATTTGGGCGCAACGAGCGAGGTATCTTATTTCAAACCGCTGATCCCTATTTTTTCCTCTCTATAAGCACGCGTAGTGGGGGTACACGGATACACTTATATAACGCCTGGACTGTATTATTACTTGAACCGTATTTAGTTTGAATTTACCTGAGTTAGTTCTTTTCAAACAACAACATTGAATTACATCTGTTGCAAATGTAATTTTGAGATAAACCACTTTGAAACCTCCAATACATAAAATTATATAAGCGTAAAATGCGATTTATTTTACAATTCCAGGCGGCATTAATGTGGAGCAAAAAATACTGCGACAGTAATCCAACTATTCCCCTGCAGGATGTAATCGGAAACTTCCTGGAGTACATCCAATTTCACAAGATCCCCGCGAATGTTTTAATGCGCGAGGTTAATCCACTGAAACTGGTGCCATCACCCATTATCATGAACTCGTTGGCCTATCAGGTGCGTGTCACGTAAACGGCTATTCTCATACATCACAGGAATTATTTTGATCTCACTGAGAGCAAACCCGGGCAAATGGGTCAAAATGTTCTCAACGCACTCAACAATGAGTACATAGCGCAGTGCGTTATTATTCCAGTGAGATGAACCCAGTGGTAATGTACAGTACTGCAACGGCATAGCATTTCCATCGGTTTTAATCGAATGACGAGGGGTTTATGAATTTTTCAACTGTGAATTTTATTTTTTATTTAAATTGTAACTGTGAATTCATGTATTTTTTAATTGCGAACTTCCATTAGGGCATTTTCCATTTGGATTTGCTCACACTGAGAGCAAACAATTCTCAAAAGCCAGTGTCGTTGGGGTTGGGGTGGGAGTTCGTCATTTCTTTTTCTCAAATGTAGGCATTGTTGAGCCCTATAAAATTCAATTCATTTGATACTTTTTTCAATTTTTGAATTTTTCCAAAAATCAGTTGTCCCACGATAACTAAAAAAATGTTTTGAATTCATTGAATAATGGCTTAAAAAATTTGTTTGGATGCCCTTGTGATCGAGTTCGAAGCTGAAGGCGATAGCAATAATCGTTGTTTTGATTTATATATAAATTTGCAAAATTTTTGTATTTTTTGAAAATCGGAATTCCGGGGATATCTTGAGATATCATGCGTCAAATGTATTCACTTATAGCTTAAAATATTAGTTTTAATGCCACACTGTCGAAGTTGAACGATAATTACGACAGCTATATCTGGTGATTTTATTTTTATGATGATTTTTGCAAATTTCAAATTTTCCATCATATATTAATAATAATCGACAACAACGGCCTAAACGTGGCTTATGTAGACGACAAACCTGTGGAATGCAGAGCCGATAAAAAAGCCAATTTCAATAATTAGGAAACCGTTGAACGAAAATAAAAACACCGATACGTGAATAGGAAATATAGCTCCTGCAGTAAATGCCACGTAGTTAGGACGAGAATGCCAGCCCGTGAAGCAACAAAGGGCTGAGGGGAGTGATAGGACCGCAAAAAAGACAATCGGTTGTATGAAATAAAGGGATAATAAGAGTAATGATAATGATAACATTCAGCTAAGTTGAAAATCTGACACAATTGTTTAAAAATCAATCTCATTCAATTTAATAATATGAAACGAATAATGAATTTTTCATCACGCTGTGACGAAAAGTGAACTTTTCGGCACGTTCCGCATGCCTAAAAGTCCAATTTCCGCCACATTGTGATGAAAAATATTGTTCGTAACTCGTGAAAAACTTTTTTGCACTCGTTACGAAATATACTAATATACCACAGAAGAAAATGATGTGCAAAATGACCATTCGGACGTGTATTGCTAATTTATTAGTAAAAATAACTGTACCATATGAAGACAAGAACAATTTCCCACATGTTTTCTGGGTATTATTTTGCAACATTTGAAATCTTAAAGTAAGATGTCTCTCTATATTAGAAAGAACCCAAATCGACTTTTGGTGATAAAAATTTGGTGCGCGAAATTAAGACTCAAAAATTAAGTGTCACAAGGGTCAAAATAAGGGGGACAAGGGTCTAAATAAGGGTAATGAGGGTCACAATAAGGGTCATAAGGAATAAAGAATAAAGAATAACGGTCATAAAGGTCAGCGTAAGGGTCACGATCCTCAGAATAAGGGACATGAGGGTGAGAATAAGGCTCGCAAGGGTCGGAATAAAGGTTACGAGGGGCAGAATAAGGGTCATGAGGGACGAATTTGGGTCACGAGGGGCAGAATAAGGGTCATGAGGGTCGAATTTGGGTCACGAGGGGCAGAATAAGGGTTCAAATGGGGGTCACAAGGGTCACATTAAGGCTCATATGGGTCAGATTAAGGGTCACAGGATCAAATCTCAGATGGAGGGCCCAAATAAGAATAACAGGGGTCAGAATAAGGATCATGAGCGTTATCTGTGGGTCATCGGGGGTTGGCGAGCGGAGCGAGCTAGTTATTACATAGAAAACGACTTGACTAGATGATTTGTTGCAGGCAGACCCCACCAGTGTCGACCCAGGTAAGCTCTCTCCCCACAGAGTGAGGAGACAGGGTCGCAGTATGTCAGTACAATCATCATTGGATCCATGCGGTAGTAACACGACACTGAGTTCGTGTGGAAGTGATGCTGGCTCTGACCAGAAACAGCACTCTGGTAGCAACTAACCTCTGGCCCCGGCCGCCTTGTTGGCGGCCACTGCGGACGTGACACCTGCGGAAACACCGCCGAGGAGTGTCGCTACGCCGGATCTCAGAGTTATTGTCCATACACCGGCTGTCACGCCACCGGGGAGCTATCACTCGCACAATGACGACGAGACTAATGCTATGCACGAACATCAAACTACTGTTGATGTGCATCGAGAGAACATTGAACAGGCGAATGAGCCCGTTGATAAGACAAGTGGCCTCTATATTCGTCTCGTTTTCAGGCAAGAGGGACGACCGGACATCGTTTGGTTCTATAAAACTCACAAGTTTTAGGTTCGTGGCATTATCGCCTAGATGCAACTGCCAGGGAGGGCTTTTTATGATATTTTTTCATCGCCCTTTTTTTGGTTCAATCTTCTTTAAAGTTCAGTAGCGAAGCGGTCAAATTCTTGGCTGAGTTTTCGAAGAATATCTCCGAATCTAAAGGAGATAGCGAAATTTTTGTTATAACCTTTTTTGTGGCGCTTAATTCGCGCTATAAAAAAGGTTATTACGAAAATTTAGCTATTTGCCTTAGATTTTGAGATATTTGCTAAAAACTGACCAATTGTCAAAATCGACTTGAACTGTTTTACTGTTTCGCTACTGAATTCCGAATTGAACGTCAAATTTTATTGTTTAATTCTCAAAGAAAGTCTTAGTTTGATTTCACATTTTGAAAATTGAAAATGAAAAATCTTGTATTGTGGAGAAATTGGAAATTTTATTTGGGTAATGACGATTTTTTTCATGAATAATTTGTAAACAATTCTTTGGGTTTTTATTATTCTTTAATACATTGGATTGTTTAACCGTTTTTCATTATTCAATGCCACAAATATGAATTTACAAGTGAAAGTCATCCTTTTTTGCAGCCAAAAATTTAAGTCTTACAAAAATCCATTCGATTCGCAGGAATTACTCTAGTAATGGTTCCAGCGAATTCCAAAAATTCCCCAATTAATTATTTTCTTTCTTTAAACATCACATTTCATTGCTGACATTTCAACGGATAGCTAATTTATTTTTACATTTTTTAATTTTAATTTTTTTATTGAAACTTCTGAAAAAATTCAGAAGTTTATGATTAGAAATGCCGATTTTTTTTCATAAATAATTTTTAAACAATCAATTTTCCACAAAAAATGAAATTCCAAATGTTCCAATAATTTTCATTAGCCATTTATCATCTTATAGTGATTCTTTCATTTATTAATTAATTTAGAAATTATTTTTAAAAATAATTCAATGCCAAAAATATGAATTTATGAGTGCAAATTCATCCTTTTTAAAATTATTACTAAAATATTATCAAGAGTAATTTTAACTATTTTCTTTGTTTAAATAACACATTTGATTATTCAAATTTCAAAGGAGATAAAAATTTAGTTCTCCATTTTTTAAGTTAAACTTTGTTATTCAACCGCCTGAAAAAATTGAGAAGTTTATTATTAGAAATGACGAGTTTTTGTCAAAAAAAATCCCAAAAGTTCCAATAATTTCCATTAGTCATTTTATATTCATTTATTGATTTCTTTAACCATTATTATTTAAAAATAATTCACTGCAACAACTATAAATTTACAAGTGAAATTGATCCTTTTTAAAATTTACAAAAATTTAACTTTCCCAAAAACCAATGATTCCACCAAATTCCGAAAATTCACTAATTTAATTCTGTTCATTTCCCCTCCAATCGTACTATCCCCCCATTCCGTTCTAATTAAATTAGTCGACCCTCCAACTCCGTAAAAGTTAATCAGCTTAACCAGCCGGTTCGAATCTCCCACGAGAGATAAAAAATGTGTGTTAAAACACAAGTGTTCTAAATTAATCACAACATATCGAATCGAGACATTTTGATCAATATCAGTGAACCGGAGAGACTCGAACAAAGCATAAACTCTATATTTGATACTAGGCACGATAAAAACTAAACCGAACAAATCCATCGCAGTCATTAAATTCATCCGGCACGTGTGGTTGCAATGAGTCCCCGGGTTTCGTAATCGACAATTACACAGGTAATGATGATGATGGTCACATTATTCATCGCACTTATCGATCCATTCCTTTGTGATAGTTTGTTATTTACGTTTTGAATTATATCAACTGTTGAGAATTTTGAGAATTTAATCAATCATCGGGATCATCGTGAAGATTCATTCAGTCCATGGTACGATATAATTAATGCTTAGAATAATAGATGTTCATTTAACTTGACATTCATAGGTAATTCTAATTGCACAAACATCGAAAACAGTCATTCATCCGTGGATTATCACGCAGATATCGTGATACGGCCATTTCAAATTTGTTGGTTGTAATAGAATGAAAAATTCTGCAATTTATGATGTAAAAGTATTAATAATCGTTGAATATTTGTGGAACGGAGTGTCATGTATGCCGAAATAAAGGCGAAATGGTAAAAATTTTATTGTTAATTGAGGTAGTATGGTCTGACTAGATTTGAGAAAAAAAAATTGAAATGTTAGTCAAGGCTTCATATAAGATACCTTAGGGACAGTAGGAGAGTGGAATTCCGGGAATTCGTGTACCCCCACTACGCGCGCTTATAGAGAGGAGAAAAATAGGGATCACACGGAGAGAAATATTCAATCAAAATTACCAGAAAAAAGACGTAAAAATTACGTTTCGAAACGTAATCTGGGAGCGAAGTAAAATTCAATAAAAAGTGTCAATCGTCACGTAAATTCTACGATCTGTTCCGTAAAAATTACGTCCGACGCCTCACGGCTAGCCATGAGTCACCGTGAGGGGGAGATTTTAAAAACACGTTCCGTAATTTTTCCGGAACTTTTCGTAAAAATTCTTAAACATCCAAGAATTTTCATGTTCTGAGGCATAATAAGTCTTGAAGTTTCTGTTAGATTTTACAACTTCCAGAAAAATTACGTGACTTTTTCGTATATTTTCGGTGACAGACCCGAAAATTTACTGAATGTTTCAGATTTATTCTCTTATATTCCTATAGAAATTCACTGAAAACGATTCTCGCTTGCGGATTACGTGAAATGTTCCGTAATTTTTCTTGAATATTTCTCTCCGTGCAGCGGTTTGAAATAAGATACCTCGCTCGTTGCACCCGTATTCTATGGAATATTCATTTTTACTGAATGGATATTGATAACTAATCAATTTATACGAGTTTAATGTTTTGAATGCGTATGGCCCACGTTCCCTTTTCTCTCTAAACATAACTCCGCGTGATAGAATGGCAGCTGATGTTGGTGGATTGTTGGGGGACTTGAGAGTAATCACTTCTGGACAGCTGAAGTACAAATTATTGAAAGTACGTAAATTAATTGAATTTTAATTAGGCTTTATTCTATTAAGATAATTCTGCGTCATCATTTTAATAATTATAGCGTCGAAGAAAGGAGGTGACCCTTGGGATCGTTTAACCCTTCTGATTACTTCACTTGACTCTCACGTTTGAACTCTTGACCCTTAAGGTCATTTGACCCTCATGATCACTTCGTTTGTCCCTCCCGTTTGACCCTCAACTCCGTTTGATCCTTATAATCACTCTTTTCACGTTGAAAAATTATCGAGGCCATAGGTATCTTATAAGAAGCCCACGGAACTAAACATTCGGGAGGCGATAAAAGTGCCAAGAGTGGGGGTAGGCCTCGCGCGCTCGGAGCCCGGGGTATCTTATATAAAGTCTCGACTGCGCCTAAGGCTCCGGCAGGCGGGAGATTTATATTTATATTTTTGAGTAACTAAAATATAAATATAAAAAATATTATGCCCGTGAAAACGTCATGACCGTACTACTTTAACGAGAGGAAAGAGTGTCTTGGAAGCATAATTCAAAATAATTTTAGACTGAACAACACCTTGAGATTGTAATAAACAACTAGTTTGAGCGCAGAGAAAATAAAGTTTACATTTTCAGGTATTTTTCCCCTGAAATCTACAACTTTATTGAATTTGTGAATAATAATGATAGACCAATCAAAACTTAGGAAAAAAAATCGCGAAATGCTTATAATTATTGTCGCAGGCTACGACATATTCCCGAAGCACTACCGATTATACAAAGAATATACAAAATGAAATAACTATTGACTACACTTAAAAAAAGTTGCTACCCGAGTTAAATAAGAATTAGGACGCATCGTTGTTGCTCCCAACGGGGAGAAAGAGAAAATGACAGAAAGTATTCTTTTACAACTTGAAAAACGCCAGCAAAGTGAGGAAAAAAAACTGATGATAACGGCGAATTCGTTGTGTGACTAGATATTCATAGTGTACGTTTAGAATTCAAATCAAATCTCATCATCACAATCATCCTGGGGCGTCGTCTCGCCAATCATCATGAAAGTTGTATTCGTTTTATTCTATTTGTCAAGTAATGTTTACCGAATACTGCGATCTTAAAACATTATGGAAAGAACTCCGCGGACGCCCTTTGACAACACTCCTACCTCAATATTTTCGGTATATACCCGAATAATTGGGAAACCCGTATTTATTCAACTGTCATTTTATTGTTTGGGGAGATGCCAGGGTTTTTCACATTCTGACGTGTGTATTCTGACAATTTAGTAACGAAGTGGTCAAACGGTTTAAGGGGAGACTACTACGAGTTTTAAAAGTCGTGGGTTATTGGAGTGAGACTTTTCATACTTGAAGATCGATTATATAGATCTAAAAATGAATAATTGGTGCAAAAAAAAATTTTTTTTTGTTCGTTTGTCCGAATACGCTTAAAATGCCAAAAACAGTCCAGGGCCTCCAATTTTTGAGCTACGAGAGGGATGTTTTTTTTCAAAATTTTCGGAAACATACGTGGAATAACAATTACGAGCTAGTTTTTTTTTAAATTCGCCTCTTACATGGCTAAATTTGCTTTTTTTGTATTTTTTTTACACAAATAGTGAATTTTTTTATATGAAAAAAACCGAAATCAGCTGTGTAGGAGCCGAATTCCAAAAAACTGGCTCGTAATTGTTATACCACACATTTTTCCGAAACTTTTGAAAAAAAAATCTTTTGTAGTTCAAAAATTGGAGGCCCCGGACTGTTTTTAGCATTTTAAGCGTTTTCAGGCAAACGAACAATAAAAAAAAACTCTGTTAAAACTCATAGTATTCTTCCCTTAATTCAATTCAGCTTTTAGTTGAGTTTTCCAGAAATATTTCCGAATTTAAAGTAGATAGCGAAATTTTCGTAATAACCTTTTTGGTAGAGCGAATCAAGTGCCATTAAAAAGGTTGTGAGAAAAATTCTGCTATCTCTTTTAGATTTCGAGATATCCATTGAAAACTGGCCAATACCGCTTGACTACTTCGCTACTGAATTATTGTGGACTCAATCGTCTGGAGTCGAGTATTTCGTTCTGGACTGAGAGACTAAATTCCCTCCGTCGAAAAACTATATGTTCTACGTGAGAATATTTGATGGAGTGGAACAGATTTACTTTAGGGAAATTAACCAACTTGACAGAAGGAAAATTTAATATCTTTCACAAAAATTAAATTTTTGTCGTGATCATCAGAAATATCCCTAGAAGAATTCGAACTGGTGGCAGGAAAAAATATAATCTATTGTACGACAATCATTTGATCTGAGAGAACTCCATAGGTTTATACTATAGAAAGAATACATCGACGAGGAAAGAAGATTTTTTCCCAAAAAAAATTGTCCCCTTGAAATTATTTAGTTCTGCCAATAACACAGTTTTTGGCAAGAAAATTGTTGTTTCCTCTTAAAATTATCATTTGTTCTATGGAAATTATAAGTGTTCATTGGACAATGATATACACTACTCAATAACCTTCACTTGATAAAACCGGAGCCGCATATAATTCTCTTTAGAACGAATGTATTGACCCGAGAGACATGTAAATGTTTCACGAGAACAATCATAAGTAAAGTGATTCAATTCGACAATTTGGAATGACACTGGCATCTCCCACTTGTTGCCACTCCCCAACGCATCGATCTCTCCCCTATTCAATCAAACTAGTCGTTGAATAAAATATAACCCACAATCCATTTGTTTATAACATTATATATAGACTCGTTTATATGCGCTCGTTGATGTTTCCACAGAGAAGTGAAATAATAATATTGAAAATAAGATTTTATCCTGAAAAATCCGACGGTGAGTGTGAGAGTCGGTAATATTTTATATTGTCGTGTTATATGCATCCGTGGTTGCATAAGTGTCAAGGGTATATTTATATGAATGTGAAAAAAGAAAGAAATACAAAAGAAATACACAAGAATCTGTCGTCTATATGCGTAACGTGTGCGTACAATATTACATAAATAATGCGAAGAGTGTCTATGATGAATTCACGTTTATGATTAATGAAATGTTATAAATTATTTATTTGGGGGCGAACTGATCAGCCGAAACACTGCTTAAATACATTATATGCTCATTCTCACCCAGATATTTGTTCCCAATCTTCATCCGTATAAATACGACGATTATGAATAATATTCTTATAAATAATGTTTTCAGTTGAAATCAGTTAAAAACATGCGCTTTTATTTCATCACGAAAGGGAATTCATTCTGTCAATTACTTTCGATTTCTTTTATTATCGCTTCGTTAGTTAATATCAATCAATCATAATTCCTCATCAGTTCGCCGTGCGAGGTGAAATCTACCTAAAGTTCGATCTCTATATAATGTCGTGATATACTGTAGTCAAATAAGTGACGAGAAAAAATCATAATAAAGAAATTTGACAGTGCAAAGTGGTTTTGTCCTTTATTTCTCATCCAAACGACTTTGATCTTGAATATGTAGCAAATGCATTTATTATTTTCATTATTATTCATCCAACAGATCAATTCACAATAAAGAAAATTAAGAAGTGTTTTTATTCTAAGAAATATTTTCTGATAATATGTTTTTTAAATAGAGAATTTTATTCCTAATTCAATAGAAACAAACGGTAAATTGCTCTTGTCTTCATACGGTATAGTTATTTTTGTTAATAAATTTTGTTAATAAATAGAATCAGATTTATTCTCTTATATTCCTATAGAAATTCACTGAAAACGATTCTCGCTTGCGGATTACGTGAAATGTTCCGTAATTTTTCTTGAATATTTCTTTCCGTGTAGAATATGATGGAAAATTCGAAATTTGCATAAATCATCATAAAAATAAAATCAACGGATATAGCTGGTCGTAATTATCGTTCAAGTTCGACAGTGTGGCATTAAAACTAACATTTTAAGCTATAATTGAATTCATTTGAAGCATGATATCTCAAGATATCCCCGGAATTCCGATTTTCAAAAAATACAAAAATTTTGCAAATTTTTATATAAACCAAAACAACGATTATTGCCATCGCCTTCATCTTCGAACTCGGTCAAAAGGGCATCTAAACAAATTTTTTAAGCCATCATTTAATGAATTTACAACATTTTTTTTAGTTATCGCTGGGAGAAGCGATTTTTGAAAAAATTCAAAAATTACCAAAATTATTGAATGAATTAAATTTTAATTAATGTCGATAGATAGAGCGCAACAATACCTTGCATTATCAACAATGACACAAAAAATCCAAAACTTAAATTTGAACTGACCCTTAATTTCAGAATGCAATCTTTAAATTTATCAATCAAAACATTGGAATAACGAGTTAAATTAATAATTCTCATCAACCGAAATTAATGATAATAAAAACAAAAATGAATGCTTCATTTCATCACCCAACGCACCTATGACCTTGAATATGTACCAACATGTTCATTGCACAATTAAAATAAAGAGGAACTCAAGTTCACGTTGGGTGCACGTCAGATGGCGAGCGTGAAACTAATAACAACCACAATTTTTCCGAGTCCTCTTCCCTCTCCTTTATGTCTCATTCCTCACTCGAGGCAGCCTGAGGTGAAGTTCATGGTGCCGTATGCACCGAGAAAGCCGCGAATACGTAAAATTTTTATTGCCTGTGTACCACACCAGCTGTACATCCGTAAGACAACTACTAGTGGTTGCGTTATACCCACGAGTCCAATTGAGACAAATGATCTGTCGCGTTTGCCATTGCGATGGGAGAATTCCACTTGTCCTTGGAATGATGAATAATGCGTGACTGCCAAGTTGTGTAAATAAAAGTGAACCACATATAACGTGGGGATATAGCGCATCAGAAGTGACAGTCAGGCAGCATTCGCGGTACTGCGGTTCGGGATGAAGGTGTTTCCGTTATTTCTGGGTATTTTGAGCTGGGCTTTTGCTCAGAAGAACCCCCACTATAAAGATGATCGCGGGACCATGGTCCACCTTTTCGAGTGGAAGTTCAAGGATATCGCGCGGGAGTGCGAGGAATTCTTGGGACCCATGGGCTTTGGTGGGGTGCAGGTGAGAATTTTTGAGGATGAGGAGGATTGGCGACGAAATATTTTTCTTTCTTTTTTTATTACGCAAATATTTGATAACAACAAGTAATTTCAGCAGAATTTTTCAATTTTCTTCTGTGAAAACATTGTTAAAAGAAACCAAATCATTTACTACCGAATTCTTTAAATATTTCGAAATATAAATATTTCGAATATTTCGAATATTTCGAATTTCAGCAGAATTTTTCAATTTTCTTCTGTGAAAACATTGTTAAAAGAAATCAAATCATTTACTACCGAATTCTTTAAATATTTCGAAATATAAATATTTCGAATATTTCGAATATTTCGAATTTCAGCAGAATTTTTCAATTTTCTTCTGTGAACACATTGTTAAAAGAAATCAAATCATTTACTACCGAATTATTTAAATATTTCGAAATATAAATATTTCGAATATATCGAATATTTCGAATTTCAGCAGAATTTTTCAATTTTCTTCTGTGAAAACATTGTTAAAAGAAATCAAATCATTTGCTACCGAATTCTTTAAATATTTCGAATATTTCGAATATTTCGAATTTCAGCAGAATTTTTCAATTTTCTTCTGTGAAAACATTGTTAAAAGAAATCAAATCATTTGCTACCGAATTCTTTAAATATTTCGAATATTTCGAATATTTCGAATTTCAGCAGAATTTTTCAATTTTCTTCTGTGAAAACATTGTTAAAAGAAATCAAATCATTTGCTACCGAATTCTTTAAATATTTCGACCCCAGAATTTAAGATTTTTCAAATTTTCAGTTGGTCCATAATTGAATGAAGTGCGAAATATATGTTGGTTATACATTTCCACATCCATTGCTACCTTTTCGATAGCAGAAAAATATCTTCATCAGTTATTATTGGCTATTTTATCAGCCTCCGCGTTTGTGGGTGATTCCGCCCAGAGTTTGTGAGTAATGCCGCCCAGGGTTTCTATAGGGCTGCTAGACTATGCAGCTAGAGGGCGGTCGAGTGACAACTCGATTGTTTGGGGTAGTCGGTGGCCACTGGAACATCGGATAAATTCAGGATAATTTATTATTATTCACGTGAAATCTTTCTCAAAATGGAGCCAAAGAATGGAAACGAAGGATGAAAATAGGAAAAATCATAACAGTTGGTCTGCATTGCTCAAGAAAGTCATGAAAACAAGGTGGGCGGTATTGGACGCATGCCGGGCGGTATTACCCTCAAAGTTCGATTCCATCGCTCACTGGCCGACTGCAATTGAATTACATAATTAAATATGTTTAATGTTAATAAAAAATCTGTCCTCTTCACATCTTCGAGTAAACACCTCGAAGAACCCATTCTAACTGTTTATGACTTCTTGTAGAGTGCGCGGCTGGAAAAAGCCTTATTTCCCTTAGGTGGGCGGTACACGTAATTTTATCTCTCAGTACAGTGGTTGAATTTTACCAAAAATGGTTCTCCCTGTAATGTCACTCCAGGTTTCCCCAATCCACGAAAACCTGATAATTCCCGAGAGACCCTGGTACGAGCGGTACCAACCGATCTCGATGAAAATCCACTCGCGATCTGGAGATGTCAAAGAGTTCAAGGATATGGTGAGGCGCTGCAACGCCGTTGACGTGAGGATTTTCGTTGATGTTGTCATCAATCACATGACCGGGGACTTGAACCCGGCCCTGGGTACAGACGGATCCACCGCGGATCCGTCAGCGAAGTCATACCCTGCGGTTCCGTTCACCAGTGAAGACTTCCACAGAACTTGCGCCATCAACAATTACCAGAATGCGACGGAGGTGAGGGACTGCGAGCTGAGTGGGCTCCATGATCTCGATCAGAGTAAAGAGCACGTCAGGGCTGCTATTGTCGAGTATATGGACAGAATTACCGATCAGGGGGTTGCGGGATTCAGGTAATAATTGTGCAGTGCGATCACTGCGAAAACTAATGTCTGAATTTCAGACACTTGTAGACACTTTTCAAACACTTTTGGGACGATTTTGTAGACACTTTTGAGATATTAAAATTTGAGATATTAAAATGTCTGAATCAACGGAGGTATTTCAATTTCAGACACCAAGATTTCTGAAATTAAGATACAGACATCAGTTTCAGACACAAGCGGTGTTTGAAATTTTCAGACAGTTAGATTTTCAGACACTTTTAAAGATTCAGACGTTTTTTGCCATCTGCCATTTTAAATTCAGATGGTTGTCAGACACCTAGTTTTTGCAGTGGATGAATCAACTTTTCAGGCATGAGAAGTATATTAAAAATTAAAGTTTGAATGGACTTTGCCGTCTGAATCAGGTGAGATATCTTAATAGTGAAATGTTTGAATCGCTCATAAATAATTGAATTTCAGACACAGAAAATATCTGAAAATAAATACCTGAAATTTTTCAGACACAAAAAATGTCTACCATCATTTTCAGACAGAAATGGTGGTTGAAATTTTCAGACATTAGACAGATTTTCAGACACTTTTGAAGATTCAGACGTTTTTTACCATCTGACATCTTAAATTCAGATAGCTGTCAGACACCTGGTTTTTGTAGTGATTTCTCTCGATATTATAAAAATCCAAATCGACTTCTCGCGATCTGAACTCGTCCCGCCATCGGCATAATCGAAATTTTGAATTATAGTTAAATTCGGAATGTCAATTCCTAATATTACTCACCAATTATTTGATTTTAAAAATAGTCATCAATTTAAATTTTCAAATTCCGAATTATTTGATGAATCATCAACTTAAATGTTCAAATCCAAATTATTTTATCAACCAATAATTGAGAAATTAAATTACCAATTACTATATTATTTTTCAAATTTCAATTACCATAAATAAATTTAAATTACTATAACGTGAAATTTCTCATAATATTACTAAAAGCAGTGATTGATGCCGATCTATGAACTCGTCACTGATTGACTCTAGAATCGACGCAGCCAAGCACATGTGGCCTCAAGACCTCAAGATCATCTACAGCAGACTCAAGAACTTGAGTGTCGCGGCGGGATTCCCTCCGAACTCGCGCCCCTTCATCTACCAGGAGGTCATCGACCTCGGGAATGAGGGTGTCAAGAAGGCCGAATACACAGACTTTGGGAGGGTCATTGAATTCAATTTCGGTATTGTCCTAGGGGGTATGTTCAGGGGGTTGGAGCCGTTGAAGAACTTGAAGAACTGGGGGAACGGGTGGGGACTCTTGCCGTCCGACGACGCTCTCGTCATGATCGATAATCATGACAACCAGAGAGGTCACGGAGCTGGTGGAGCCACGATCCTCACGTACAAAGTACCTAAAATATATAAGGTATGAAGAATTGTTCCACAGAAAAAACAAGTGGATGATTGCATTTTTTTATAAATGAGTATAGTCATTGTCGCGAAAAAATTAGCAATTTGCTTTCAAATGGATTTTCTTCTTTTGAATTCGTATTTCACTATTCTCTTCTTTTATTTTTTCATATCATAGTACTATCATCAATTGGAATGTCATCAAAATTTTGCGGATTATTTCGTTCTGTCAAATAATTCTACATTCAGACCCTCTCAAAGGCTTTCCAAGCCCTGATTTAATTGCTATTACTGATGATTCTTTCAGTAATCATGAAAAAACCGATTTTCTCTTCCAAATCGCATAAACAATGTGCTGTAACTGAACAACGAATTATCCGACCCCCATCATATTCTGATAGAATCAAGAGGGTATTGTTATCAATTTTTGGAGCCATGACAAATTCCATTGTGATGACAATTGTTTGAGTGATCGTCGACAAATCGATCAATTTTTTCGAATCTGTACGAAAAATTGAATTTAAATTCATGGAATTGAAATTCATGGAAAAAATTCATGGAATTCAATTGATCCCTTATAAGAAAATTTATGGAAAAAAAATATACTATCTAAAAATCGGATATTCGGACTTTTTAAACCATATTTAGTTATCCCAATACAAAAAAATTGGGAACTCAAATTTTCGTGAAACAAAAACACGTGAGAACAATTTGAATGACTCAGAACTCATTGTGAAGCTCGAAAAAATCCTTTAAAAATTGCTAAAAGAAAGTATTCTGTCAAATAGCGATACAGCTCGCCGAAAAGAACGTATGCGAGGGGCGAGGCCCCCCGAGCGTCGCGCGCAGGGGGCCCAGCCCCCACTATAACCCCATGAAATTAGCCAATTTTGACTGTCAGTTTTCAATGAATATCTCGCAATCCAAGGCAGATAGCGATCTTTTCATCAGAATCTTTTTTGCGGAGCGAAGTTAGATCTCCAAAAAAGCTCTTATCAAAAATGTCGCTATCTCCCTCAGATTCGCCGATATTCCTCGAAAACCCAGCGACCAGCACTGCTGACTGAAATAGTTTTACGGCTTCACTCCTCAATTGCAGATGGCCACAGCCTTCGAGCTGGCTCACCCCTACGGCACGACCCGCGTCATGAGTTCCTACTCCTTCACGGACCCCAGCGCGGGGCCTCCGGCCCACCCGAACGGCACAATAATCTCCCCCCAAATAACGAACGACGTGTGCACCAACGGCTGGATCTGCGAGCACCGCTGGCACCAGATCTACCAAATGGTGATTTTCCGGAACGTCGCGAAGAGATCGCCAGTAGCAAATTGGTGGGACAACGGGAACAACCAGATAGCCTTCTCCCGAGGCCGCCTCGGCTTCGTCGCCATCAACGGCGAGTCCTCCGATCTTCGAGGGAATCTGACAACTGGACTCCCCGCCGGCAGATACTGCGACGTCATCTCAGGTAAAGTCGAGGGGAACAAGTGCACCGGTAAAACAGTGGAGGTCGCCAAGGACGGGACGGCATTCGTCGAGATTCCAGCGAATGCTGAGGACGGAGTTCTTGCGATTCACATCGGTTTAACTTCAGCGGTGAGATTTCTCATTGTCTTTAGCGTGATTGTATTGCGGGTGATTGCAACTAATGAGATGATTCGTTCTTCAGTTGCAGTGAAGCCCAGATGAGACGATGGAGTCGACGCTTATGGTGGTATTAATTATCTAGTGGCGATTCTAAATATTTTATCATGATAGCATCTGTGAGATGTAACAGTGGCAGATAAGTATATGGATAATATGAGTGGATGTAGAACTGCTGTTTCGTCAATGTTAAAAATTATTCATCATTTTCTGTGCGGAGGAAAGAAGAGCCTCTAGTTTCCAGAGAAAATGCTGACAATGTAAGAATGTGATATCGCATTCTGGGAGAATAAAATATTATTGCGTATTTGGTGTTTTTCTTCCTTTCTGTCTTCATGTACGATTGTGTCTTTCTTTCTCGTCTCGCTGTACACATTGTGTTTACTTCGACGAAGAGCTTTCTCATCGTCTCTTTAGCGTGATTGTAACTAATGAGATGATTCGTACTTGAGTTGCAGTGGATCCCAGGTGAGATGATTGAGTCGACGTTTGTGATGGCATTAATTATCTAGTGGCGACTCAAAATATTTTATCATGACAGCATCTGTCAGGTGTAATACTAGAAGATAAATATATGTATAATATGAGTGGATACAGAAATGCTGTTTCGTCAATGTCAAGCATTATTCGTCATTTTCTATGCAGAAGAAAGAATAGCTGCTGATTTCCAGTGAAAATGCTGATAATACAAGAATGTGATATCAAGGAGAATAAAATATTATTGCGTATTTGGTGTTTTCCTCCCTCTCCATCTTCATGTAGGATTGTCTTTTTCTCTCTCTCATTATTCTTTCATCTCATGTCTTTTTTGCAGATGTATTTTTTAGATTCAAATTTTCATAATTATTTCCTTCGTTCCAAATTCTCATAATAAACTATTACAGTCGAGGCTTTATAAAAGATACCTCGATCTCTGAGCGCTCGAGGCCTACCCCCACTCTCGGCACTTTTATCGCCTCCCGAATGTTTAGTTCCGTGGGCTTCTTATAAGATACCTATGGCCTCGATAATTTTTCAATGGGAAAAAAGTGATTATAAGGATCAAACGGAGTTGAGGGTCAAACGGTAGGGACGAACGAAGTGATCATAAGGGCCAAATGACCTTAAGGGTCAAGAGTTCAAACGTGAGAGTCAAGTGAAGTAATCAGAAGGGTTAAACGATCCCAAGGGTCACCTCTTTTCTTCGACGCTATAATTATCAAAATGATGACGCAGAATTATCTTAATAGAATAAAGCCTAATTAAAATTCAATTAATTTACGTACTTTCAATAATTTGTACTTCAGCTGTCCAGAAGTGATTACTCTCAAGTCCCCCAACAATCCCCCAACATCAGCTGCCATTCTATCACGCGGGGTTATGTTTAGAAAGAAACGGGAACGCGGGCTCTACGCATTCAAAACATTAAACTCGTATAAATTGATTGGTTATCAATATCCATTCAGTAAAAATGAATATTCCATAGGATTCGGGCGCAACGAGCGAGGTATCTTATTTCAAACCGCTGATCCCTATTTTTCTCCTCTCTGTAAGCGCGCGTAGTGGGGGTATTCGGATTCCCGACATTCCACTCTCCTATCGTCCCTAAGGTATCTTATATAAAGCCTTGACTGGATTAATACGATATCAAGATTCTGATATTGACTTTCAAAGTTTATAAACTTCACCTAAAGTTCACACATTCATGTCTACAGCATTCCTGGTGGATCTTAAGGGTGCCAAGTGAATTTGAGAAAAGATTCAAAAAAAATTTTTTCTTTCCCTCCATCATTGGAGAAATATGTATTCATCCATCCGACGAAATGTCAAACCCGCAACCGGAACTAGACATCGAGAAAATAAATGCGGAAAATCCTCTATTTCGCGTGACGAACCTCGAGAAAGCATGGGATCAAATGGGTACGGCGGGTTGAAATATCTCTCTTATTCACCCCGGTACCCCATTGTTTTTTGTCGCCATCACATTGAACACATCATTCCCCATATCTTCAAATTTTTTCAAATTTTTCTTGAGTTCCTAGGGGGTTGAAACGTTCAATTTAATCAAAACTCCATAAGAGGCCGTGTATAAGACTGATTTTGTTTATTTAATTTCTCGATATCCATAAGTTCTAAAATTTTAAAATTGTCACCGATGTTCACCATCTGTCTAATACTATTAATTAAAAAAATTATAACTTTGTTGGTGAATGTCAATTTTCAAGGTCATCGCCAAATTCACTTGGCACCCTCAAGCTTCAAACGCAATAATTCTGTCGCAATAACATTGCAACATTACATAAATCAAGATCGATAGCTCTCACCGATTCCCACATATTTCTCCAACACCGATGTTTATCAATCAGATCAGATATTGGGAAAAGGCAGATGCAAGAAATGACGGTTGGCAGTGCCGGGGGGGAACGCGGAGGGGCGGGAGGGAGAAAAATAAAAGAAGAGTGGACTCCGAACCAATTTGTAGTGAATTTAGCGATAACCAGGCGGGTATATATTCAGTGAACGTTATAAACCACAATGACACACATTGGTATGCAGTCGCTGGTGATTGGTTTGCTTGCGTTGGCAGCGGCCACCGCCGATTGCCATAAGCATCCAAATTACGCGCCTGGTCACGATGTTATTGTCCATTTGTTCGAGTGGAAGTGGAACGATATTGGCGATGAGTGCGAACGGTTTTTGGGACCGATGGGGTTCGGGGGGGTCCAGGTATGTACCGATATTTTTATAAGACATACTTATAGGCCTTCTAGTAGAAGTTTATCCTTCCCAGGGTACCCCCACTCTACGTAATTCCCACTCATATGCTTGTTCCCCACTCCAAAAATCCATGGATATTCTTCTGGAAGATAGCCCATAACGTTATCGATCTCTTTCGTGATTTCAATGTAATTAATACGTTTTTCAACGGGAAATTTCAGTGCAACAAATCATTTTTTTCCTATGATTTATAATTTTATTGAGTTTTTTTATTCCTTGGAAGTAGTAAATTGAAATTTGATGAGATCTTACGGTGCAACTATATGTTCCACGCAGTGATAGGCATATCAATCAATCATAATTACCGTTAAATTGTGAAGTTGTCAATTTTTAACATAAATTTTAAAATTTTTAATATTAAATTAACCATCAATTTGTACATTTAAATTTCAAAATATTCTATCATCCAATAATTTAGGTAGGAAGATTGACGATTAGTTGAATAATCGAAAACCAATTACCTAAATTTAGAATTAGCTTGTTAACTAAAAAAATACATTTCAACATTATCAAATATTTTATTCACCATCAATCGGAAAATTTAGTTAATACATTTTATAATATTTTAAACTTGTTAAATATAGTTAAACTTTGAACAATATAAGGAGATAATCCCTTTTTAATAATGTGAAAATCTAATATTATTGCCCATCCCTGGTTCCACGTGAGAATATTTGATGGAGTGGAACAGATTTACTTGAGGGAAATTAACCAACTTGACAGAAGGAAATTTAATATCTTTCCCAAAAATTAAATTTTTGTCGTGATCATCAGAAATATCGCTAGAAGAATTCGAACTGTTGGCAGGAAAAAATATAATCTATTGTACGACAATCACTTGATCTGAGAGAACTCCATAGGTTTATACCACAGAAAGAATACATTGACGAGGAAAGAATATTTTTTTTTCCCAAAAAAAAATTGTCCCCTCGAAATTATTTAATTTTGCGAATAACACAATTATCGGCAAGAAAATTTTAGTTTCCTCTTGAAATTATCATTTGTTCCATAGAAATTATAAGTGTTTATTGGACAAAGATATACACTACTCAATAACATTCACTTGATAAAACCGGAGCTTCATATAATTCTCTGTAGAACGAATGTATTTACCCGAAAGGCATGTAAATGTCTAACGAGAACAATTACTACTACGAAAATTATCGTGTTTTGGTGGAAACTTTGTTTTTGTACACAAGTAAATTGATTCAACACGACAAAAGATCTCTTGAGGGGAATAATATATTGACAACAATAATATATTGACTATGTTGTGACAAAAGCAATTCAGTAGCGAAGTGGTAAACCGGTTTAAGTGGACTTATCTCCCAGTTGAGTTTTTGAGGAATATTTCCGAATCTAACGGAGATAGCGAAATTTTCGTAATCACATTTGTTACAGCTCTCAATCGGCTCTACAAAAACGGTTATAACAAAAATTTTTCCATCTCCCTTAGATTCCGAGATATTTACTAAAAACTGGTCAATAGTTAAAATTGACTTATACCAGAGTAACCCCAGACTACTGAATATTCAAGATATCCTAAAGTCCCTCAGAACAAAAGACATTAAAGCTATTTCAAAATTCTTCAAAAATTGTTCAATTCAGATATAAAATATGTTTAACAAAGACCCTAACTAATTAACTAACATTAAGGGACTATTGCAATTTATATATTTTACTACTATGTAATGATAAATTGTAATACATTTATTAGTAGCTAAAGAAGCCCGAAAGGGGTTCCTTAATAAAACAACAAAAAATTGACTTATACCATTTCACCACTTCGCTACTGAATTATTTTTACTCCAATTATTTACTGTTTTATTCACAGGAATTCCTTGAATAATCACAATAGCGAGTCACTTCATATCACAATCTTCAGTGTTCTATTTTCTCCCCTCAATCACAAAATTATTCACTTCTTCCTACACTGTAATCAGTCCCAAGATAGTCCTTATCTAAGTTTGAACTACATAAGAAAACAATGAGTACTCTTCATCGATTCATAACAAGCAATCATCAGCCCGTGGAAATTGTTCCATTTAGGTATCGCCGATCCAAGAAAATGTGATTATTCCCAAGAGGCCGTGGTGGGAGCGTTATCAACCGATCTCCTATCGATTCGTCACGCGTTCCGGTAACGAGACAGAGTTCAGGGACATGGTCAGGAGATGCAACGCCGTTGGCGTTCGAATTTACGTTGATGCACTGCTTAATCACGTGTCAGCTGATCACAATTTCGAGGTCAATGGGACCGGGGGTAGCTGGGCCGATCCGGCAACCAGAAATTATTCGGCTATACCGTATACGCGCTCGGACTTCCATCCGAGTTGTGCACTGAAGGATTTCAGCAATCCTGTGGAGGTGAGGAACTGCGAACTCGTGGGACTTCATGATCTTAATCAGAGTGTCGAACATGTCAGGGAGAGAATCGTTGAATTTATGAATCGGGCGGTCGACGCTGGGGTCGCCGGTTTTCGGTGAGGATGTATTATTGTATTTTTATTTGATTGGTTACAGCTCATTCCGATGCTTCACAGAAAAAAAAGTTTTGATTTTCAGGGACGTGTCAATGATTTTTAGGAATCTATTAGGAATTCAGCAGCGAAGTAGTAAAAGGAGATAAGTCAATTTTGACTATGGACCAGTTTTCAATCAATATCTCGGAGTCTAAGGGAGATAGCAAAATTTTTGTTACAACCTTTTTTGTGGAGCCGATTGAGTGCTACAACAAATGTAATTACTGAAATTTCGCTATTTCTCTTAGATTCGGAAATATTTCTCAAAAACTCAACTGGGAGATGAGTCGACTTATCTCCGTTTACATTATTAGAATCACCTTTATTAGCGGGGATTTTTATTTTTGAAATTTGGATTTAAAATCATCTTTGAAATCGTCTCTGAAATTAGGTGGAGGTCGTCTGAAATCAATCGCAGTCAACACAAAAAAAATAGAAAATCGAAAAATCGGTCAAAAACGAAGCTTCCATTTGGAAGCAAAAATAAGGTTTTTCTTTTGAGTTCTTTTGAAAAGCTCAAATTGAGATTTTTAGGGTAAACCAAGTACTTTGGCTATTTTTATCCAGTGAAGTGCTATCCTACTTTTATAGTAGAACTTCAGAACTTTCATTTGAGCCCCATTTGATCCCAAATTTCCGGACATTTTACAATGATTTATTATTTAAACTTTGCAGGCCTGAATTTATATCTCGATATTGAACCGTTGGGAAACATTTAAAAAATCTGAAAAAAATTAGAAAGTTTACTTTTGGAGAAAGGTTGATAAAATAACTGAAAAATAAACATAAAAATTGTAAACAATCAATTTTCCACGATTAAAATCATTTGCTTGGAATCGTAACAAATTCATTTATATTCAGAATTTCACCAGAAATTTATTTCATGTCTAAAAAGATAAGGTTTACGAAAGTTTAAACAATATCAATCATTTATTTATAAACCACGAATGTTTAAAAAATAATAATGCTCTGCAAAATGAAATTCGAATGACGCTGAATATTCATGATTTTTTTCCAATTTTCTCTCAACTTAAGAATTTTGGGCTTTAAATTAAGACTTCTGAAATCTTAAAATAAAGTATAATTTTTTTGGATGGATACGACAAAAATTGTTCTGCTATCCTTTTTAAAAAAAACATTTGCAATATCTGGAATCGAAAATGAGAACTCGGTTTTCATGAGTACAATCTTCTTGCGTCGCATTTTCATGAAGTCCGCCTAACAAGCAAAAGAAAATTGAATACCATTCTATGAAACATGAATAAATGAATCATAATTGTCCAAATTATTTATGTGAGAGGAAAATAGAATAATTCTACTTACTTAATATTGCGTTTACTAAGGTTGTCTTCGAACAAAGTTGATTAGAATTAATAGCTAGAATTATGAGATTATCTCATATTTTTGACGTTAAGGACAGGAGAATCTAAATGCAATGTAGTGAAAATGACGATCGATTTTTTCACTTTGAACAAATAATATTAATATCCAAATAAAACATTTCTGATATGAATAAAAAGAAGCTGTGACTCAATATTCCAAATGAAGTTTTAATTTTTAATTCGGTGCTGAAAACACGAGATGAAAATATTCTCAGCACGGAATTATACTGATGAGATGAACAACAGATTAATTGAATTACCGTGTGAACTAACTAAAAATTGATAACAGTGTCGGCACGCACTTTTACCAGAGCATCAGCAAACATTGAATTCCAGAAATTTACGCTCTGAAGTGTGTTCCAGAAGGAAATGAATAGTAATTACGATTAAAATCTTATTCAGTGAGCATAGGAATTAGAACATGAGCAAATCATTTATTGTAATATGAAAATTTCACAGCTGATAAATTGGGACATATGATAATATGATTCTTCTAGGTCGGACTGCTTTTTGCAATGAGAATGACTCTAAACAATCAATTGAAAAAAAGGAATATCGAATCTGACAGGAGGGCATCAACCCTTTTCACATAAAAACAATCATGAATTCATAATTGCGTCACATCATCATCCATTCCACCACAATTCCCAAAATAATTCCAAGAATTCAACTTCCCCCGGCAGAATCGACGCCGCAAAACACATGTGGCCAACCGATCTCCAAATAATATACTCCCGCCTGAGTAACCTCAGCCCCGCGCACGGTTTCCCCCCCGACTCGCGACCGTACATTTACCAGGAGGTAATCGACGTAGGCGGAGAGGGTGTATCGAAATTCGAGTACAACAGCTTCGGCGCCGTGACCGAGTTCAGATACGGCGCTGAGGTAACAAAGGGAATGACCGGAAACAATCCCCTCAGGTGGTTCAGGAGCATCGGCGAGGACTGGTCGATGCTGCCCCGCGACTCAGCCCTGATTTTCATCGACAATCACGACAATCAGCGGGGCAGCGGTGGTGGCGGTGCAGTCCTCACGTACAAGCGTCCGAAGCTCTACAAAATGGCGGTTGCGTTCATGCTTGCGCACCCCTACGGCAACCCGAAAATCATGAGTTCGTTCGCGTTCGACGAGTCCGATCAGGGCCCACCTGCGGATGCCCAGGGCAATCTCACTCCGCCTGTGATCAGGGCGGACGGCAGCTGCGGGGGCGGATGGGTCTGCGAACACCGCTGGCGGCAAATTTACAACATGGTGGGATTCAGAAATGCCGTTAACGGCAGCAAGATAGACCAGTGGTGGGACAATTGGAACAATCAGATTGCCTTTTCGCGGGGCAATGCCGGATTCATTGCCATCAATGCTGATAATGACGATCTCAGGGCGAATATTCACACGGGACTTCCGGCGGGCGTCTACTGCGATGTTATTTCTGGGAGTCTCGTTAATGGCGAGTGCTCTGGGAAGACGGTGGAAGTGAGGAAGGACGGCTATGCGTTTGTCGAGATCCTGGTGGAGGAGGAGGACGGAGTTCTCGCGATTCATCGAAATGTGAGTGGAGCTCTTTGCATACATTAGGGTATCGGGGATCTCGAGGGGGCTTTGGGAATAATTATGCGCGTGGAGAGAAATACTCGATAAAAATTACATATCTTTTCGGTAATTCCGGAGCGTAATGTGGTTGTAGGAAATTTTACGGAACCTTCACAATTTTTACCTATAATTACGGAATTTTTCCAGAGCGTTCCGTAATTTTTAGCTGAATCTCTTGTGAAAAATTACGATACTGTCACTTGAATTTTCTGAGCCGATTACAGAATCGACTCAGAAAATTTAAAAAATTGGCAAACGAGTCAAATAATGGAGCGAAATCCATTTCTAAATGAAAAAAATAAGGACATTGAGAAAATTTAATATCTTTCACAAAAATTAAATTTTTGTCGTGATCATCAGAAATATCCCTAGAAGAATTCGAACTGCTGGCGGGAAAAAATGTAATCTATTGTACGACAATCATTTGATTTGAGAGAACTCCATAGGTTTACACCATAGAAAAAATACATTGACGAGGAAAGAATATTTTTTTCCCAAAAAAAATTATCCCCTCGAAATTATTTAGCTTCGCCAATAACACAGTTTTCGTCAAGAAAATTATAGTTTGCTCTTGAAGTTATCATTTCAGTAGCGAAGCGGTAAACCGGGTTAAGTCGATTTTGACTATTGGCCAGTTTTTGACGAATATCTCGGAATCTAAAAGAGATAAAAAAAATTTTGTCAGGAACTTTTTATAGCCCTTAATTGGTTCTACAAAAAAGGTCATGAGAAAAATTTTACTATCTCTCTTAGGTTCTGAGATATTCATCAAAAATTGATCAAAAGTCAAAATCGACTTAACCCGGTTTACCGCTTCACTACTGATTTGTTCCATGGAAATTATAAGTGTTGATTGGAAAAAGATATAGACTACTCAGTAACATTCGCTAGATAAAACCGGAGCCACATAATTCTCTAAATTGATTCAACATGACAAAAGATTTTTATCCAAATTTCTCTCCATGTGATCCATTTGATGTACGTCATGACGAGTGAATTGTTTTTTTCCAGGCGAAACTAAACTCCCAGCCGTTGGAGTCTGAACTCGAGAGTGAGAATATGATCTACAGCACTTTTAGAGTAATTTAATAATGTGTAAATCACATCACTGATCGGATTGAAATGTAAATAGGTGAATGTTTAAATAAAATCACTCATTAGTTTTAGTATTTTTCAACAAGTTTATTTTAACAGAAACAATGCACTGTTTTTCCTCATTACTTTTTTCTGTTTCCTCTCTTCACCATTAATCTTTCCTATACATTATTCAATAACAGTTAATTCATAAAAATAATACATGACAGACTTAAACGAAACAAATAAAAATGATAAAAGGGGGAAAATGAGGTGGAGAGATCGAGGAGGATGTCGATAAATACGATTAGAAATGGGAGAATTGAAGGAAAAATAATAATGGTGAGAAAGGGAGAATGGAAGGACACATGTAAAACACTGCATTATCACAAAATAGCTGTAATTATTCAGCTGTACATTTTTTTTTTATTTGTTTAATCTCTCTTTCCCACCCTATTCCCTACATAACTTTTTCTGCTTACGTTTTCACATGAAAAAACTGATGTACCGTGACTCGATAAGTATTTTCCTTTCATAAATTGTGCATCATTTATCGTTTTAAGATGCTAACATAACAATACTACAACTGTTTTTCCTTCGTAAGAGCAATTATATAAATAAACATGTTTAAGCAGTATGTACAGTGATTCTTTAAGTAAAAGCCGCTAGTTCGTAACTCGCAAAAAATATGTATTTTCAATAAAATAAAAAACCATGCAATATATTCAGTAGTGGAGTGGTGAAATGAGGCACGGCACCAAGAAGAATGGTTTTTTTGCCCAAATATTTTTCACTCGTCCCATCGAAAGGGAATTCATTTTTGAAACAAGAAAAAATGTTCTTCAATGGAAATATCTTTGATTCGAGGCTCCAAAACTGTCGGATGTGTTGATGCAAGAACGCGATTACTAGAAATCATGCCGTACAATTTCATACTGATACTATAGAATATTATGCTAAGGAAATCCACATTTTCATACAGACATCTCGGACTGAATTAATCATCTGATTAATAATTATTTAACCACTCCATCAATGAATCATATTTCCACGATTGTTCAGAGTTTTGAAACCTTCAGATTTTTAAACTTTGTATAATTCATTTCCGACTACCCGGAGACCCAATAAAAAAGTCATACGAGTACAAAAATATGTATCGACGTGTTATTACCTTTAATTATCAGTTTAAACCTGCTTTTGTTATCTAAAAATACTGCTCGCAGTACGAGTTACTCTCTTTGTGTACAAATTCCTTCTTTTTTCATAAAATTGCATAGTCTCAGCCCCTAGTTACAAATTAACTTACATCTGTTATGTTGAATACAATAAGGCAACGGTTAACTTACTAAATAAATAAAAATTGTTACAAGTTGGAAAATAGTGAATGTACAAACTCTTCAGACAATTATAACTAGCAAAATTGACATTTCCAGTTTTTTATGAAACAACTAACACATATCCAAGTACTTTAGCTATTTTCTAACGTTTGAAAAATTTATTTGAATCATTTTTATAAATTTTCCTTCTGCACTCAATTGAAAAATTTGATGATCAAAATCGTGAAGTAAAAAGTACTTGGATACCCTTCAACTCTTATGACCAATAAAGTAGAGCACGTTGGATCGCCTGGTTCCTAATGTTATTAGCAAAAATATAATTTAGCTTTATCCTCCATTCGCACAATAATCCATTATAAAAACTTCGTTAAAATATATAAAAGAAACAACGATTTGAGCAAGTACGTATCCTAGGAAAATATTATTTTCAACGAGTCGAAAGAATTATTGTTATTGCACATGATTCTCGCTACTACGAATACCCACTTTCATCCACATATTCCGTATTCACTCAGTAAATTTCAATGAAAATGCCTCGAAATTATGTTGACACTGTTGTCAATTCATTGGAAGACATTTGAATATGTAAGTACTCGTTTTATTTCTTTACAAAAAATACAATACATGTGAGCTAATCTCCGTTCGCGTTCTTCACTCGTTTTTTTATATTTTCAATGCCTGTAATTTTTGTGCCCCTGATTGGTCGTTGTTTGTCGCATATTTCTTCACGAAAATAATCTATTTTGTATAATTAGGCGGATTATTCTCACGAGAAAAAGGTTATTCTCAGGTGAGAACATTTTTCTTATTTACTTCATTGAGAAAATATGGAAATTTCTTGCGGAACTGGAACTTTTTCATCAATTTTTCGTAATTTTTTTTACATTTTTAACTTTTTTTTCACGCACGAAAAAATTTTATTGAAAAATCTAATGCATTCGCTAGAAAATTCTGTTTCATGTCGACACGACTTCTATTGAAAATTCTGGAGATTTTCTGCGCGTTTTTTTTTCAATAGAAAATATCTAATAGAATTCACTCTATTGAGCTATAGATTTTTTTACTCTATTTTTCATTTATTTCATAAAAAATATATTTATTTATTTCATAAAAAACGGAAAATTTGGGTAGATTGACTACTGGTCAGTTTTCAATGAATATCTCCGAATCTAAGGCAGATAGCAAAATTTTTGTCATAAACTTTTTTATAGAGCGAATTGAGAGCTACAAAAAACGTTTTTACAAAAATTTCGCCATCTCCCTTACATTCGGAGATATTCCTAAGAAGCTCAGCTGAGACCTAAATCGAGTATTGAATGTTAAAAAAAAAGTAATAAAAATTCTAAAAAATAAAATACTATTTATTTATTTTCAGCAAAATATTTTCTATTGCACGGGAAAGCTTCGAAAATTTTCCATAAAATTAACGGAAAACTAATAAACTTTCTTTTCCAATCGAAAACAAATAGAATTTTCAAGCGAATGCACTAGGATTTTCCACTAAAATTTTCTTGCACCTGTTCCTAGGCACTTTCAGCATAAACCTAATTACCCCTAGCTAAAAACTAAATTAGGTACTGAAATTGGGCGGAGTCTCCTCATAAAAATGTCGGGCAAAAGCTAATCGTCACTGTTTTATCGGCTTTTTAAACACGACATCGGGTTTGCGTACAGGACGGGATACACGTCTCTCGATTCTCAATGCGCGATTGGGATCGGCATCGGGACCCGGAGTCTCCGCCATTGTTTGTCAGTTTCCAGTGCTGCTGGGCCGTCTTCCGGGTGTCTGCGTGGTATTTACGGTAGCAGCGGCGGCAGCCGCTGCATTCAGCACCGGAAGTGGCGTTTGATGGCAGTGGGCGCAGTGAAGACATACCGTGCAGGCACCGAGCTTTCGGGCCAGCATTGCACGGAGCTTCAAGGCCGGCCCGAGTTTCATGCCCATTGGGCCTGTCAGGTGATCCTCGGATAGAAGAGGTAATGACGCACCGTCGATACGATTTTCCCGGAAATTCTGGAACAAATAGATTATGAATAATTAGTGGGGCATTTGGTTTATGTTTTACTGTTGAAAATTTTGGTCTTGAGCCCAGTCCTTATATAAGATACCTTAGGGAGAGAGAGTGGAATTCCGGGAATCCGTACACCCCCACTAGGCGCGCTTATAGCGAGGAGAAAAATAGGGATCAGAATATTCATTTTTACTGAATGGATATTGATAGCTTATCAATTTATACGAGTTTAATGTTTTGAATGCGCACAGCCCGCGTTCCCTTTTCTCTCTAAACATAACCCCGTGTGATAGAATGGCACCTGATGTTGGGGGATTGTTGGGGGACTTGAGAATAATCACTTCTGGACAGCTGAAGTACAAATTATTGAAAGTACGTAAATTAATTGAATTTTGATTAGGCTTTATCCTATTAAGATAATTCTGCGTCATCATTTTAATAATTATAGCGTCGAAGAAAAGAGGTGACCCTTGGGATCGTTTAACCCTTCTGATTACTTCACTTGACTCTCACGTTTGAACTCTTGACCCTCAAGGTCATTTGACCCTTATGATCACTTCGTTCGTCCCTACCGTTTGACCCCCAACTCCGTTTGATCCTTATAATCATTCTTTTGCCGTTGAAAAATTATCGAGGCCATAGGTATCTTATGAGAAGCCCACGGAACTGAACATTCGGTAGGCTCGACTGTAATAATTAATTAACCGTTCCAACAATTATTCAAAACATTCAATTTCCACCGTCAAATTGCACGAAATACACCGGAAAATAGGTTCTCCTTCCACTTATAATATTTTCCATTAAACTGTCAGTATGCCAGAGCAACTGGCGTGCGAACAGGACCAAGCCTAGGTCAACCTCGTGAACCCTGAGCAGCTCTTGACCACGAACACTCCCCCCCCCCCCCCCCCCCCCCCCC